ATTGGCTACCAAAAAGAGGGGAAAACATGCCGTCGCTCATCATAAACAAATTAAACACCGGCAGAGCCAGCCACTTCCTATTTCCCCCATTATATCAAAAACAAGACTGCAAAACAGCAGAGGGCGCCCACGAGTGAGTCCTCAATGAATGGGGGTGAATTAAGGTTAGACAGAATTAAAATTTTAATTAAAGTTAAAATAGTTTCTAATCACTCACCCAGAACTTTCCTTTAACTTTAGAAAGTAGAAGGATGTATTTTACTAAGAAAGCAAAGAAAACTGACCTGTATGTTTCCTTTTTTCTACAGCAAACAGGTTTTGGGCAGCATGACGCTCAGCAGCTCATTGGCTATTCACACTCACTGACGTCATGAACGTACACGAGGTGCCATTTTAAACTCCTATAACTCGAGTTTAAAAGCTCTTCAAAATATAACAGCAGTGTTAAAATGTTTTATGCTGTATTTTTTACATTAAAAATGTTTAAGCATATATATATACATACATACATACATCATCTAAACTTTCTGGGTCGCAGTGGGGTGCTGGTGCCTATCCCAGCTGTCATTGGGCGGAAGGCAGGATACACCATATTATATATATGATTTCGCTCAAATGCTCCATATTAACCCATTCATTTTGGACTCGCTCAAGAGCGCTCTCTAGTGTTTGAGAAAACTGGAGTAAAGACATTACAGAGTGGTAATTCTCCTCTCTACAAGTTCCCTGACACCGGTTAATTCTGGCTTTAATTAGAATTGTGTGGGGTTTTACATGCATTATGAGAAAATGTGCAAACATCCAGCAGTGTTTTAGCAGTTTAGTCATTCCAAATGATGAGTTATGTTTACGTCCCTGCTAGAAAAACCAGCACGGACCAGCTTGGCTGGTCTTCAGCAAAACGCAGCATATCATCACTGTGCAAAGAAAAACGTTTCCCCATTTTTGAAATTTGTATTTTTCTATTTCTATTTCTATATTCGAGCACGGCCGATGTCCTTTACATCGTGTGAAATTTTCACGATGAATGGGCCAAAAGAAAAGCTCCAAAATTGCTTGGAATACATTGAAAGTAAAGAACGTTTCTGCACACTTCGTTCTTGGGACAGCAACGATATGTTGTGTTTTGTACGCTGTTGTGCTGGTCAGCAGCAACAGAAGTAGTAAAGCTGATCACCAGCAAAACCTGCATGCTGGTTGACCAGCTAAAACAGTACCATGTCAGCACTAGACCAGCTTAGACCGGCTTAGACCAGCTTTTTTTGATAATCCAGCACTCCGAATGTAATAAACTAACAATCATCTAATAAGGTAGTTTGGCTGCTGGGCTAAAGCTGCTAAACAGCTACCACAGCTACACGTGGTACAGTCACAGATTTTTACTTTCACTAGAGTCACTCTTTGAGCCCAGCTGCTCTCTTTAGCTTATATGTTCACTGGTGTAAAGACTTTATGGAAAAATCCTTCACAAAAAATACAACAAACCATTTCTGACGACCATCTCACAAGTCATGACCCCCAGGCTGAGAATCACCGGTTTTAAACACTTTCTGTTTTTGGGGTTCCAAAAAACAATGTGAGCTGAGCGCCAGGTGGTGGATTTAAAAGACTTAGAAATCTGGTGTTTACTGCAGTTACGTATCTTCTTACTTTCTTTGCAAAATAATGTATTATGTTTCTTTTATAATAGTATATTTTAAATGTGAATGTTAGAATATTTGACAACAAACAAGGGGAAAAGTCCAGTTTGATTTCTGATCAGCCTGAATTTAAAGAGCTCTAATCATCCAGACCAGAGGTCACCAATAGGCGGACCGCGGTCCGAGTCCAGACCCAGCCTCTGTCCTATGTGGACCTGGACCTATAGCCGATAAACTATGGAGAATTATTTAATTTTGACAGGGTGGTCCTATTTTAATTGGCGTAACTTTTCTAGCCTTTACGGTACCGGTTTAGCAGCCCGGGAGACTCACAGACCAACCGCATGCATTGCAAATATCACACGTGGCGCTACTCAGCCAATCAGATCTGTGCATTACGATAAGCACCGAGACTCGAGTGAGTGATGCACACACAGGGAAGGGGTGAGGCACAGCAGTCGGAGAAGAAAGTGAGCCATGCTATTTTATATGGTGTGCTCTTAAAATTGAAAACTGACCATAAATGTTGTTGAAATATTACTGAATTGTACTTTATTTGATTTGACATTCAGTTGTTGACTGTATAAGATGTTGATATACCTACTAGGCTACTTCAGTAAACAGTATATGGAACTGAATCATGATGCAAGTTAGACATTATGATGTTCCAGACCATTTTCAGTATCTGAACTGATTCTGACCATTTTGGAACACACGCAGAACAGCAATACTAAGTTTAACCACCAGGGGCCAGTATTACACAAACATTCTAACTCTGAACTCCAACCTGTTTAGTCACAATGACATCAGAATGTATGTTATGATTTTTAGGTAACAGGCAGCATCGTACAGTCTATCCTTTAGCTGGAGTTTAGCAGTAACGCTAACGAATCAGCACTTAGTAGCAGTAATGCTAACCAATTAGCGCTCAGTAGAAGAAATGCTATCCAATCAGCACTCAATAACAGTAATGCCATCCAATCAGCACTCGGTAGCGGTACTGCTAACCCATCAGCGTTCAGTACCAGTAAAGGCAAGCAATCAGCGCTCATTAGTGTTAATGCCAACCAATCAGTGCTCAGTAATGGTGATGGTAACCAATCAGCACTCAGTACCACTAATGCTGGCGTCCTGCTGCCCAAAACCTGACTAGTGTAGAAAACGTGAAAGGTTATGGTTAGTTGATGTTTTTAATGGACTGCATTCTTCTACCTTTCAAAATAATAGCAAGTTCTGCCTGAATGGCTAGAAAGGTTGAATGTTTTGCTTTGCCATTTAAGTCCATTTACACCCCCCACCCTCCCCTTTATTGAGGACTTGCTCGGAGGCGCCCTCTAGCGAGCTGCGGTCATGTTCTTGGAACTGACCAGTCTCTTCATAAAACAGATGTGGATAAGGTGTAATGTCTAAGTTAAGATTTGATTCTGTAACATAAATGTGTGAAAAATCCTATCCTGTCAGATCATTGGACTGACGACAGGACAGCCTCAGGTGTCCAAGAGCGTATGAGTTTTTAATGACTCAAGTTCATTTTTGAGGAGGAGGAACATCCATTAGTGCAGTGATCACCACCTCTTGTTCTGGAGATCTACAGTCTTGCACTGATTAGTCCCAACCTGCATCTAACATACCCACTTATCACTGAGGCACCTGATCAGCCAATCAGGGCTCTGTGAAGAAGTTAATCAGTCGCAGGTGTGGCAGATTGTGGCTGGAACTAGACCCTGCAGGAAGGTCTCCAGGACAGGGTTGGTGAGCACTGCATACTTTTCCAGCTCATTATTTACTCTTAAACTATAAAAATCTCACAACAGCAGCCGCTTTCAGCTCACTGTGGAGCTTCAACCACACAGCTGAACAAATCCTCTCTAAATGACCACAGAGAGCAAAAGACTGTTCAACAGTGGGACACAAGACACTGACAGAGCTAATACAGGCAAAATATCTGGCTTCACCACCAACCTACTGCATTCTTCTTTATGTTACTCACAACATTACTGAAATTAGTCAACACAAAATCAATATGAGTGGAATTTCATACTAAAAACAGGGTTTTGTGAGGAACCTACCTGATTTCACTGCTGGTCTCTTTGCTTCTTTCAGTCTGGGCTGTTCTACTGCCATCTGATGGTGAAAGAGGACATCAGAAAATCTTCCGTTCTTCACTGATGTGAATCAGCTGGAAGTAAAAGCATCTCATTAGTGAGTTGTAGGACGTGGACGCTGCTTATAGCTGTTTCTGACAGCTTATTCACATGATGGTTACAGATGTTCAGCAGCCATGACAGTGAAGTCTTACAACACATGTTGGGTGTTGAACTGGATCAGGGCCTGCGCTGCCCCCCAAACTGATTAAAAGCACACTCTCCAATCATTTTACAACTAGCCTGACTTTAGAATAGGCTGAATTAATTTAGTAACTTTTCTACATACATTAATAAACATAAAGGTGTTTTTATATTAAAAGAGCTGTTTTATAAAATCTACTTTTGTGCTTTATTTTGTAGAGAAAAAGCAGTTTGATGCTGTTATGTAAACACTGATTGAGTACTCATTTAAATATATTCATCCATCCAGCCTATAGGTGGTTAGCATTGACGTTTCCAATGATTTTAACACGATTGCACATTACACGTTGAATGTATGATGTGATTTTAAATAAAGCTGTATTTTCTTAAAGATAAGTAAGTCTTTACCCTTCAGTAGTTATGATTTTGGTGTTACAATTGAAGTTTTTTTATAAAAAGAATCTGCAATATTTTGAATAAAATTACCCCCTTACATATTTTAGCAATGTTGGTGCAGAAATGCAGTGTATGTGATGGCCCTTGTTGATGGAAGCCCATTTACCAACCGTGCTGTAATGTTTTCCAAAGCTTTTAACATAAATAACCTGTGTTTTTTCTGAAAGGTGCGTCTATAACTTTCAGTAATGAAGTTCATTTTCAAAAACAAAGTTCAATATTTTGAACAGGTCAGTTTAATCACTAGCACCATGGTGGGTAAACCAACAAGACCTGATGGCATGGCAAAGAAGGCCCCTTTAAATCAGGCATAAAAAAGCAGAAAACATAAAAGAAATAAAAGTACGTAAAATAACACATTAATAAATCAAACATAATTTCTAATTAAAATACAGCAAAGGTCATTTTTAACGGAATAAACAAAATAAAACATAAAAGCTTTAAACTCCTCATTTGAACAGCATTTAGCATTTAAAATCGTAATACGTGTATTTTAACGTGTAGCTCAGAGCCGCACAGCTACAAGTTCCCGCCCTCCCTGACAGGCGATTGGCGGATGAGTACAGAGGCCCCGCCCACTGTCGCAGACGATTGGCTGATCAGTGGTGACCACGTTGGGAGATCATCAACAAGCGCCGGCAGCTAGCAGTACAGTAGCGCTGTTTTCTGCAGGTTCCTAGTCTAAATTAATGCTTTTACAGATGCGGGAGAAGAAATCCTCAAAGGAGAAGAAAAGAAAGCACTCTCACCGAGAGTCTGACGATGGAGACAGAAAACGGAGGAGCACTGAGTCCAGCGCGGAGGTGATGAACCGGCTGAATGTTTGCTTTGTTAGTGCTAATAACGTTACAGTCGTTCCTCTAACTGTGGATCGGTCAATATAATCTCTATAATCAGCTGACTTGGTTCGCGTTGTGTTGTAAAAGCTGTAAGAAAAGCGTTTTCATGCCTCAGAAATGCTATAATATGGATATTCCACGGTTCTTAGAACAACAGCTGAGAGGTTTGAGTACAGAGGTTCGCACTGATGAGTTATTATTATCTTTATTAGGGTGGAATATTTAGTGTTTGCTATTAACATGTAGGTGTATAACCTGCAGTGTTTAATTCAACGTTATTGTCATCTACTGAGCACTTTATTAGGTACACATACTTTGTATCTGTCCTTACTCATTGTCCACTTACCATATATATGCATTTTGTAGTCCTGCAGTAACAGACTGTAGTCCATCTGTTTCATTATTTGTTAGCCCACTTTCACCCTGTTATTCAGTGGTCAGGACCACCACAGAGCAGGGATTATCTGAGTGATAGATCATTATCACTCAGTGACATTGATGTGGTGGTGGTGTGTTAGTGTGTGTTGTGCTGGTGCGAGTGGATCAGACACGGCAGAGCTGCTGGAGTTTCTAAACACCTCAGTGTCACTGCTGGACTGAGAATAGTCCACCCAACAAAAATATCCAGCCAACAGCGTCTTGTGATCACTGGTGAAGGACTAGAGGATGACCAACAAAAACTGTGCAGCAACACATGAGCTGCTGTCACTGACTTTACACCTAAAACAAGGTAGGAGTGTCGAACAGAGCGGACAGTGAGTGGACACAGTGTTTAAAACCTCCAGCAGCACTGCTGTGTCTGATCCACTCGTACCAGCACAACAGTCCTACAGCTTTCTCGGTCATTTTAGAATCTTCTACAGCTCTGTTCATCATTCTGGACACATCTAACATTTCTACATTTTTATCTACAGCTTTCGTTTCTTTCCATTCAGCATCTGATGAATAAAATTGTTGACAGTAGATACGGTTCACTTTTAGCCAACGTCAAATCCAGTAAGTCTAAAAAAGGACAGATGTGTGATAAATACAAGCTTGGAGCAGCTGTTACAGATGTTGCAGACTCCTGTGTCCTCTCCACCAGTTTTCTTATTGGCTGTAAATGTATCTTGAAGGATCCTAAAGAGGAGGTGGATCATCCGGAGGAGGGCGTCGAAGAGCCGAGCGACATAGAGGAAGGCGGACTGGACCTGAACGTGCCTTTCAAACCCATAAGCGCCTACGTGACGGACAGACAGGAGATGCTGGAGCAGTGCTTCAGAGTTCTCGGCGAAAACAAACTGAAAAAGATGCTGCCAGACGAGTTAAAGGTACTTTATGTTAAACGTTTAATTTGATTGTGCATTTATATTAAAAATAACATTAGAATTCATTTGTGAGTAACGTTCAGTGTACCCAAGGTCACTGTACATCCCTTTAAGGAATTTAAAGGGCCTGAATTCTTCATTTTTCTTTATTTTATTTTTTTCTGAGGTCTTTGTGGTTCAGGGTCTTCTGAGGTCTGAGTTTGTTTTGTTTTATGTACCAGAAACAGCTGTGGTTCATTTTTACATGACCATTTGCTAATTACTTTTACATTTGCTAGTTAGTAAGGGGAAACATACACAGCTGTAAGTGTGTATTTAAGACTGATACATGTAAATGACTTCCTCTGTTCTGGTTGGCAAAGCTAAACCCTGTGAAACAGTGAATTTGAAACAGGCTGTTTTTCCAGCTTAGTTTCCATAAATGGCCTGTATGGACTGAAGAGTGAACAATATGTTTACGTACTACATTTGGGGACCCTTTAAAGAGAAAAGGACATAAATACAGCAGCATATTAAAGTGACAGCACGAAGAAAGCAAGCGGGAAAAGAGCAAAGATTTCAACAGCTTTTTAAACGAGATGGAGGTTTAAGCACAGAGATTTAGAGCAGTTGTGTCTAATCTAATAGAGTCTAATCTAGGGCTGCCTTATTCCCTTATTCTTATATGCCTGATTCCCAGTCACTGAGCTGCTGTAATTCTTTTTGCAGGAGTGTTCCATAGCAGAGATAAAGACGCTGTGCTGGGATCAACTGAAGGAGCTGTCCGAGAGCAACCTGCTCCGGATACTGGAAGGTAAATTTGACTCGTGAATTTCTTTACTATAAGGAATCTCCCAGATTTTCCACAGTCCACAAACAATGGGCCTTTCATTATTTATGATATTTAATGCAGTTGTTCAAACGCTCACACACAATCTGCACCATTAACATTGGTTAGTCATTTAAATTTATTAGTATATTTATTACAGTGCAGATACAGTTATTTTTCTGCAGATAGATTCTGTTCAAAATATCACGAGAATATCGAATCATGAACCCAGTTTCGAGAATCAGATTGTGGGCTGGATGTATTGTTGCCCAACTACTTCAGCTTAGTACATAAGAATTGGTACTGAAAGTGTTAGTTCAACCAAAAAATCTAGTTTAATAATAATTAGACATCTGTTACAGATGTTGCAAAGAGATAAACAGAAAAGATAAATTTGATTAAAAAGGGTATTTCAGCACTACAAGGCCAATATAGCTCACAAGTAATGGAAGTGTCCACCCCACTAATTATCATCATGACTAAATCATCACTCACTCGTCTCGAACCATGTAAAGTTGTTAAGTAATCTCTAACAGACTAAAGTAAAGACAAAAGCTGCATTAGCTTCATTGTTGTTTTGTTCACTTTTGAAGGTAAAGAGTTGACGGCTAACTCAGAAACTGAGGAGAATGAAGCTAAAAGGAACTCAGTGGACAGTCAGTAAGTCCAAGCATCTATCCATCCATCCATCCATGGCACAGAATTCTTCCCTCATAGGCCTTTAACATTCACAGTACTCTTTGGCATCAACAAATCCTGAATCCTGAATATATCCAGTATATAGAAGTCACAAAGTATATTTTCAGTCATGCTAGCATATTTAAGTTTTGCCAAACTTTAATTTTGTGGGGTGTTTTTCTCTGACTGTTTCTAAAGTTGTGGTTCATTGTGGCTCTTAGGCAGGACAATAATGTGGATTCCACCTCCTCTATGAAAGAGACGGCTGAAGCAGAGGACAAACAAGGTAAGAACTGCAAAAATAAACATTCATAAAGGGGAATTATGACCTTTTTTAATAAGTTATTAAAATGTGTTATTCGTCATGTAATGTTCTGTGGCACAGCATTGTATCTTTTGTATCATGTTTTGTTTTCCTCCATCAATAATTTCTCAGTACAGTACCCAGCATGCTCTAAGAAAATATGTCATACAGCCAATGGGAATCCTTCACTGATGTGGAGGCTAATAAATACAGACACAATATTCGACTTAAGCAGTGATGTTGGCTATCTGGGTTCTGCATTAGCCAGCATGACAAAACCTTTCAAACAGCCTGCGCAGAGATTTTCCTGTTTTTTTTAAACCAGAAAATGTCACTTTGGAGACTTCTGCATAACTATGCTTTCGCATACTAATGTCCGTAGATCACTGATGAAGCAAAAACATGCAGATAACCTTTTCAGTCAAAAGGGCACAATTGCAATCAGTAACCATTTCAGTACAGCTTATATTGACTAAGATTATAAGCATGAATATATGCTTCTTGCTTTGCTAATGTCTGTATTTTTAAATTACAGGTGAAACATATCAGTTTAGATGAATCTGATACATTTACATCATAAAACAATGGTTAGCACATTTACACATTTACAGTCGTTTGTCAAATAAATATAAGCAAAGTGTTATTCTGCATTAAAATGTGCAGAAGTGTGTTCTCTTGCTGTTAACTTTCTTTAGAATTTGACCAGGGGTGCCCAAACTTTTGCATACGACTGTATATCTATCATAAACCAATGATCAGTGTGTTTTAGTCTAAAGTAAATGATTTCTAGAGTAGCTTGATTTCTACCTTCTGTGCTGCCAGGGGGCTCTGGAGAGGAGAGCGACGTTCTGAGCATCAACGCAGACATGGACGACAGTGACATCGAGGGCCACAGGGATGACAAACCTCCAGAAGAGGAAGCTCCCGCTACCATGGCGATGACCTCTTCGGCCTCTGCTCCACCTCCAGAACCGGAATCCCATCCGGCCGAGCCGAAACTAGAGCTTCAACGCGACATCGACAAGAGTGTCAGTGAAATCCTGTCCCTGACCACGCCTCCTTCCAGCAAGGCGGAGCTGGAGCTGCCGGTTGCTGTGGAAACTACTCCAGCCCCACTTCCTCTTCCTCTGGCCCAGGCTGCAGTGCCCTCGGCACAGCAGTTGGCCCTTCTGGAGCTGGAGATGAGAGCGAGAGCCATTAAAGCGCTAATGAAGGCCAATGACCTCAAGAAATAAGCCAGTGATTGATGTATATGTGCTTCGCCCATGAATGCGTACTTTCATAGCTACTGTTGCTAAACTGGACAAGCTTTACAGAATGCAAGGAGAAATCCCATTTAACCTAATGGGAAACTGTAGAACACAGTTTATATCACAATACCTACATTTAGAGTGAGTTATTCATTCAACCTAATGAGAAACTGTAGAACAGACTCAGTTTATATCACAATACCTACATTTAGAGTGAGTTATTCATTCAAACTAATGAGAAACAGTAGAACAGACTCAGTTTATATCACTAAATGTAGGTACTGTGATATAAACTGAGTGAGTTCTACAGTTTCTCATTAGGCTGAATGGGATTTTTTACCAGTTCTGTAAAACTTGTTAAAACAATTGCTAATAAAGAACATATTTATAGGTGGCGCACAGATGTTGGCTGTAAGCGATGTGAGGAATGTCTAAGGCCATATTGGCTTCCAAATGTACAGTTATGTTGGGGGAACATAAACAGCCATATTGGCTTCTCTTGTTTTTTTGAGGGAAATTTCACAAAGCAGGATTTCTCAATGTAGCTGGATAATTTAAGCTCATACTGAAGAAGGTCAGATACAGATATCCCTTACAGGCTCAACTCAGGCTTAAAGGTGGTTTTCCAGCCTAATCTCAATCTGCTGCTTTTGTAGCATGGGATTGTCTTCTGTGGACAATAATTTTGACACAACAGGTTTCATGTTCCTGTTTGAGTGCAGGGAAATGACTGTTGATAATTAGCCATTTGTTGTATAGATTGGGTTGAGAAATGCAGAGCAATCTTTCAAGTTATCTGGCAAACTAAGAAATCCTACTTTATGAAAGATGTTTTGTTTTTGTTTTTAATCGCCTGAAGGTATAAAGAAAAAATATAATGTACTGTGGAGGCTTTACGTTAAAAACTGATCCCGATAGCAACAGGGCTGCTGATATGGGGAGAATCTTTCAGAAACTTTTGTGTGTATCATTTCTACTTCAATAAACGCACACTCTGTCTATGTGTATATAGAGTGTATATATGCTTTTATATAAGAATGTTTGTTTTATTCATATATAAATAGTATTGATATTTTTATTAAGTATCGCATATTAGAGAGAGTTCACCAGTAACACTGGAAGCTAGATAATCATTTCAGTTAATATGACGCTAAGTACCAAGACAAGTTATAGTTATTACCTGCATAAGCGGTACAAACTAGAGAGTACAGTGTAACTATTTTGGGTAAACTGGTAGCAGGTAACCAGACGGTCTAAATAAAAGAGTCTAGCTACTAATCTGGTAAAAGACAGTAAAATATCTCATAATTGGATACTTATTTGGAGTAATAAGGTGGAATGTACAAATATACACTAAATGTAATATCACTGAAGGAATCTATATCAGGATAATCTGTAAACAGCAGGTAGTAATGTAGGATTAAAGGGAAGTATGAAAACATTTGATGTAAAAGTTTTATGTAGTTTGTATCCATTTGTTACCACGAAACTAAACTGAGTCTGGGCTTAAAATTTACCATCCCATTAATCAAAATAATTACCTAGTCCTTTGGAATACCTAGGAGTTTGTACCTCACACAAAAGTTACAGAACTATAAATGAAAGTGTTTCCAATTCATTAAGGTACAGTATGTATGCTATCTTTTTTAAATACAGGCATGTAATATGATTGGTAAAAGCTAAAATATAGATAATCAAGGTTGGAGACTTCTAAACGAACATTGTTATAAAGCCTTACCTTCATACAATAAATTCCTCTTCAGTAGACATGGGTGAAATTCATTTTTCATAGATTTCATAGATCGTCTTTTTTAAATATCACAACAGCCAATATTATTTTTCTGTAGTCTGTAGGCTGTTTTCTTCTTTTACAACAAGTAAAGTAGCCGATAATCATCTCAGCACAAAAATAATAGTAATAAATAATAGCAATTCTCATGAAAAGACCCTACAACCAGAGTCAAACAACTTCAAAACATACTTAAAAATAAAAACAATGCTGTTACTACTGTATTTCTATTTGAAACAGCTGAAATGAACGGTGTACTTACTTTAGCTGCCACAAGAGGTCGCAATTGCACTGCAGTTCCACAGAGCCATTCAGCTGTCCTTTCTTCAGTTCAAGAGCCAAATCTCATTTAGGGTGGACAGCAGCATAAAGCCAAAGACATATGCAAATCAATTTAATTCAAAAAGAATTAAAATGAGTTACCTGTCACATTTCGCCAGTAAAAAGTCATAAAAGTCATAAAAAACATTCCTCTCTAAGATCACGAAGATGAGTCAGGACTCAAAAGAACTCGCTAAGAGCATGAGGAAGAACCACTAAGATGAACCAAGACTCCAAAGGAAAAACCTAATTAGAGCATGAAGTAGAACCACTGAGAGGAAGTCAAAGTAGAAACTCCCTAAGAACATGAAGAAGAACCACTGAGAGGAACCAAGAGTCAAACGGGAAAACCTGCTAACAACATGAAGAAGAACCAATGCGAGGAGACAATGCTCAAAAGAAGAAACTCTTAGAGCGAAAAGACTGAGGGGAACAAAAAGCAGAACGCATCCACCTCAGTAGCTAAGACAAAATGCTAATAATAATCTTCTATTGTAAACTTGTAGCCAGAATAGCAGGCTAATAATCTTCTATTGTAAACTTGTAGCCAGAATAGCAGGCTAATAATCTTCTATTGTAACGCTGTAGCCAGAATAGCAGGCTAATAATCTTCTATTGTAACGTTGTAGCCAGAATAGCAGGCTAATAATCTTCTATTGTAATGTTGTAGCCAGAATAGCAGGCTAATAATCTTCTATTGTAAACTTGTAGCCAGAATAGCAGGCTAATAATCTTCTATTGTAATGTTGTAGCCAGAATAGCAGGCTAATAATCTTCTATTGTAACGTTGTAGCCAGAATAGCAGGCTAATAATCTTCTATTGTAACGTTGTAGCCAGAATAGCAGGCTAATAATCTTCTATTGTAACGTTGTAGCCAGAATAGCAGGCTAATAATCTTCTATTGTAACGTTGTAGCCAGAATAGCAGGCTAATAATCTTCTATTGTAATGTTGTAGCCAGAATAGCAGGCTAATAATCTTCTATTGTAACGTTGTAGCCAGAATAGCAGGCTAATAATCTTCTATTGTAATGTTGTAGCCAGAATAGCAGGCTAATAATCTTCTATTGTAATGTTGTAGCCAGAATAGCAGGCTAATAATCTTCTATTGTAACGTTGTAGCCAGAATAGCAGGCTAATAATCTTCTATTGTAACGCTGTAGCCAGAATAGCAGGCTAATAATCTTCTATTGTAATGTTGTAGCCAGAATAGCAGGCTAATAATCTTCTATTGTAACGTTGTAGCCAGAATACCAAGCTTATAATCTTCTATTGCAACATTGTAGCCAGAATAGCAGGCTAATAATCTTCTATTGTAATGTAGCCAGAATAACCTAATTAACTTTGCATGTATATTCGCACATTAAAATTGTTTGCTTAATAACAAACACTTTACAAAATGTAAATAAAAAGAACGAAGTACATAAAGAACAAAGAAAGAAAGAAAGAGCAAAAGGTTTGTGTGTGGAAAATGAGAACTGAAAAACAGGCATTTTGTCTAAAACTGCTTATCAGTGGACTGCCTGGTTTGCCTGGTATGAGTTAAAAATCCAGTGCACCGCTGGTGGCAGTGGCCAGTGGCCAGTGGCCTGCCATCCTCTTGCTATCCTGTTATCTGGGTAAGCTAATAAACCTCTAATGTGTCTTTGTAGCCCGGACACCAAGTGAACAAAACTATTTACAAGTTATGAGTTCACTGGTCAGCCACTGCTAATACATTTCCATAACTAAGCTAGTAAGCTGATATTTATTTCTATTGCCAGCTACGAACTTCTAAATAGGTTCATTAGCTTACTTTATGTCTGGTAAAAATCCACACGCATTCTTTCCTTTCTGATACATCTAAAATAACATTCACCGGCCCTTCTGAGTGCGCTGGTGTCGTCTAATCTCCATGTAATGGTAGCAGAAGAGGAAGCTTAGCGGATATGCATTAAAAGTGTGCAGCTTGTTAAAAGCCTTTGCCATTTACCTTGAGATTCAAACCCAAATGGATCCCCTGGGGGGGTGAAAAGGAGAAAAGGAGAGATTAGGGAGGGAGAAAGTGGGTCTAATGTTTGATGGAGATAATTATCAAGAGGTTTGCACGTCTACGCATCGCACGTCCATCCGCCCACCAGCGCCCATTAAAACGACTTCGATTGTCCTGAAGCGCCTTTCCTCGCTCTTAATGGAGCCGTGCCAAAACAGCATGCTATCACCTTACACTCGCGGTGTGTTTGCTGTAATTTCGCACGGATCTTTGGCTTTGTTCTGGTAAACGGCAGGGTCTGAGAATCAGGCAATTACCCATGATTCTTAGCACTGCGACCTCCCGTGGGAATGGATGGTACAAGCAGAGAGGAGCAAGAGCCCCGATGGATATTTGCATTTAAAAGGGCCATTTTTTCCATAATAAATGCGAAAATAATTGCACTATTCTCCACACCGAAGGGGCGACGTTAAGAATGCGCTGCTGATTTCGATGGGAAAATGACCACTTAAAGATGAAAAGGAATGAGAGAGAGAGATAGAGAGAAAGAGAGAGAGATGCTTACAAAACCCCCATTGATTAGTCTTGTTTAATTTGCCTTTTTGCCTCATCAGTGTCTAGCTGCGAAGGATTGTGATGGAAATCCTTAGTGTAATTATTTCTGACAACCTCAGTGGAAACTGACTTGGGGCCCATATTTGCTGCTAAATGAACACAAGTTCAGAACATTTATCCACTATTTTCCTGAGATAAGACTCTTCACACCAAACTTTTTCACACTGTTTTAGGTTTTTTTCAACTAACATCTTCCACACGCTCCATCTACTTTGCGTTTGATGACTTAGCAGCCCCAAACACACCTGCTTTAACTCGTTATGAGGGTCTTAGACATTTCAACTTTCATACAAATAGTTCCACATTGTGAGTTGCCTGCCTTTCTTACAGTGGCTGTCATCACATTCACCTTTCAGTGGTAACGTTATCAAATTTACGCCTGCACTGTTTAACTGAGCGGCAGTGGAAGGTAGCTGGACGTCAGGCTTCCTCAAAAATCTTCCTTCGGCCTCAGTACAGCCAAGCGGACAGTCGTTGACGTGTGACAGTTCCCTCCAACATGGACGAAAGGCTAGTTTGACTTGGCTGAAGTGTGTTACACAAAAGTTGAAAACATCTGAACTTTGTACGACCCAGCGGTGAGCGCAACGGTACATGGAGTACACTGCGGTAGATGTCTGTGCTGTGCATCCCACTGGAAATAAGGGTGCCTACACTCCTGACAGCGCAAGGATGGAGCGCTAGACGCAGACGCAAGCAGATCTTGTCTGTCTAGTAGGCGTGTACACAGCTGGAGCAGGAGCAAAAAAGTCTGTGTTGGACCATGAGGAATCCGCCTGTGACAAGTTTTGCGAAGCGGTCCCCGTTTACACCTGGTCACTTCGTGTGACTGGGATCTGGTTTGCGTCCTAATAAGGTTTTAGCCACATGCATTTACACTTAGCAAATGTATCTCCACTTAGTCAGACTGAAATCCATTTGCTGTGTGAGACTGAATATTCAAATCCACTTGTCACGCAGCAACCAGTTACCAACTGTTTATCAAGTCATCTGCAGTTTGTTCTGCACAGTAGTGTCTGTCCATACTGCTATATAGCATTTTGTTTCGTTCGGTCCTCGTCCATGTGTGTCCTCCATGATGATCGTCCTCGCAGTGACGGATCACATGTCCAGTGACGGACTGCTTGGGGAGGAGTTTTGGTGGTACTGGGAGAAGTTTATGTTGTAATTTGAGAGCTTCTGGTCGTACTGGGAAGGGTTTAGATAGTAATGGGAGAGATTTTGGTTGTACTGGGAGGGGTTTTGGTTGTACTGGGAGAGGTTCTGGTTGTACTGGGAGAGATTTTGGTTGTATTGGGAGGGGTTTTGGTTGTACTGGGAGAGGTTCTGGTTGT